CTCACACCTATCACTATTATATCGGGTGCATGATAAAATTTACAAAATTAATTATCGGGTACTTAGTAATAATCAATTATATCAGGTGCCTGATATGTTTATTCTTCCTCGATAGGTGTCCGATAGGTACCCAATAAATACCCGATATTTGAATTTTGACCTGTGCCATTGACTTGTCCGTTAAAATATAATAACTGATCATGGTTGCTTTCTACTTTTGTTAATTCAAAATTGGTTAAATCTTCATTTGTGTCTTCTAAGTTTTGTAAGCTCAGTTGTTTGCAATCCCTAGCAAAATGTCCCAGCTTGTTACAGTTGAAACAATTCTTTGTGTCTTTTCCTTTTCTACTTGAATTGTTATTATTAGAGTTACTTCTATTATTATTATAATTATTATTCCTGTTGGTGTTATTGTTAGAGTGTTTATTCCATTGATAATTTGTACGGTTTTGATTTCTATGGGCCAATGCATCCAATTCCATTGGTATTGGGCCATCATTATTTGGTTTTGGTTTGTAAGGTTTATGAATATTAATTTGAAATCCACTTGTTGGTTTTCCCCACATCGCTCTATCAAAGCGTGTAGCTCTTTCTATAGTAGCTTCTAAGGTATCTGGAGAGTTGTAAGATACTTCAGTTCTTGTGGCAACTTTTAATCCTTCTGTATATTGTATTACTTGATCAAGGGCACTTATGTTTTCAATTTGTCCCACAACATTTAAGAATTTAGTTGTATATTTTTGTACACTTCCAGTTTGTTTCAGTTGTCGTAATTGCATACGCAGATGTTGTTGGAAGTTGGTAGGTTGGAAGGAAACTTTAAATCCATTTTTAAATACATCCCAATTAGCATAAGGTTCGTTATTCCCAACAACAATTTTCTTTTGTAACCACCATGCTAAAGCAGCATCCTTAAATCCCATTATAGTATAACGAATTTTTACAGCACCATCAGTGATTCCTTGAACCACAAATAAATTTTCTATTAATCAGGTAGTAACACTTTCATTAGTTCTATTATGGAAAGGAGGTATGTGAATTGGAGGTCGAGATACATTATTTCTAGCTTATGGTTGAAGTTGGATATTTAAGACAGCAACTAACTGTCCTATAGCAGCAGTTACATCTTGTGTTATTACCATATTTACTATATTTCCTAAATTTATTAAAGGTAAATTTACTTCAGGTAGAGGGGTAGGTGTTTGATTATTAATTTCAGGTAAGGTTCTAGGCTGAATTTCTATTGGTTGATCTTGTGCAACGTTAAAATCTAAATTATTATTATTATTATTATTATTAATTTCAATATCTTCTTTTTCAACAGGTTCTTGATTAGTTGGAGGATTTGTTTGGCTTCTGTAGTTAAAGTGATAAGAGGTGAAGTCTCTTCTATTATCTGTGGAGTTGTTTTGACAGGGAGTTGAGTATGAGAAGGTCCTGCTTCGTTAGATCGTGATGGTGATCGTGGGAATGGACGATTTCGAGGGGCGCGATGTTGTCTTCGAGGTGATATAGTAGGAGAAGAGGAATGGGAAGTATAGGCGTCTAAGTTTACTCGTATTGGCTGTCTACTTGCTTCGTATGTTTCCCTATATTCTCTTGCTAATCGTAATTGCTCTTGTTCTTCTTGATTACAGTGATTTCGCTCTTCTATTAGGCATCGATCGGTCTCTTCTTCTTGAATTCTTATTTGTTCGAGGAGTCTCTGTTGTTCCTCGAGTTCTTCTTGTTCAAGTTGTGCTTTTTGTTGTTGAGGAGTTAATGTTGGTGTAGCTGGCGATGGTTTCCAGGGTAAATCTGGAGTTGGTATAGGTGGAGATGCTCCCAGAGTAAATCTTGTGTTGGTAATTCTTATAGTGTACTTCAAATTTGTTTGTCAGCTGGCGGCGTAGTAGTTTCTTGTTGTTCTACTGGAGGGTTTTCTTCGTCTTCGTTATTTTGTCCTAAGCCAAAGGTATTCAATACTGAGTTTCTCCAACTCATATACTTGTAGATTCGACGATGTAAATGTTCGGAATGTAAATAAAATAATTCTTATTAAAAATAATAATTAATAAAATTATTTTAAAAAAAAAATAATTAAAAGAAATAAAATTATTTAAACAGTTTATTTTTATCTATATAAAATAAGTGTAATAGTAAGGAGGTTGGAAGTGAGGAAAATAGGTGAGAAGGAATAAAAATAAAATTAAAAATAATTTTTGTCTGTCCGTCGTTTATTCGTCACAGTCTAATACTATAAAAAACGCTACCGGGTGTGATATCTTATTATCAAAGTAAGGCGCGACAATTAAACGTCCGCTGCTACCAAGTGTAAGAGTTCCTTGTTAAACTCTTATTTTGTAGGTGTGGTGTATGTATGTGTGTGTCTAGAGTTATTCACAATAACTCTAGCTTCGACCAGAAGCAAACAAAAAATGTAACTAAGTGTGTGAGTTTTATTGTCAATAAATTAATGAACAGTAAACTATCCTTTATTTAATAAAATACATATGCCTTATATATATATGTTTGGTTACATAATAATAAATATAAATAAATATAAATACATATAAACTTAGGTTCATAGAACCTAATCCAGAAAAGGCAAACTTATCAAATAAAATATAAAAATAAATAAAAATAAAAATGCACATGTGAATTAGTTGATAGTCTATAAATAATATAATTAGTAATTCACATGTACTTAAGTAGATCTAAGATAAATGATTATCATCTTATATTAAACATGTTCCCAACATGTTATCTCATGTTAATAAGATGTAATCAAAATAATATCAAAGATAAAATAAAATAAATAAAATGAGAAGGTGCGCAGCAAATTAATGACGAATTGTTACAGAGCTTGTACTTGGCCTGAAGGATATTGACATCATTATTTAACTAAGAAGTGATATCCTTATACTGATTATGGTAAAACTACTAAATCTGCTTGTGGACAATGTGATTTGCATAAAAGAGGTTATTATCAAATTCAGTATATTAATAGGTTATAAGAAAAAACTTATGAAAATAGTATATCAGGAACTTGATCTAGAATGTTAAATACCAAGAACAATTTTCGATATCAAGAGATTAGATTTATTTTGTATATCAGGAACTTAATTTAGAGTGTTAAATACTGAAGACAATTTTTGATATCAAGAAGTTAGATTTAAGGTTAGATTTATTTTTGCTATTCTAAAAAACTTTTTAAAAAAAATTAAAGTATTAAATTTCAAGGATAATTTTTGATATCAAGAGGTTAGATTTATTTTTTTACTATCCTAAAAAAGCTTTCTAAGGAAAATTAAAACTTATATAAGACATAAGAAAATTAGAACAAAATATATTGATATTGCATATGGTTTAAATATATCAAAAAGTTAGATTTAATAAAATATTATACAATTTAGCTTGCTGCATATTATTACCATGAGTTTTCTTCACTTTTATAATTTCTTATTATTTTATTTTATTTTTATTTCTTATTTATATTTATTTTATTAGTGTAGTTATTTTAGTGTATTTAGTATATTTAGTTATAGTATTTATTTATTTAATAGTATAATATGAATTATGTAAATCAATAATGTAGATCATAGTGGCCCAGTTACTGACCAATTTACTGACCAATTTAGTGGCCAACTGATTAACCAACTTAGTGACCAACTGATTGACACAATTACTAACCAAGATTTTGGTCAACTTACTAATCAACTTACTGATCAAATTAAATATTATAAAAATAGTGAGTTTTCTCTTCACCTCAAGGCAAATTCATATAGTTTTTCAAATAAGGTTCGAATAATTCTAAATAGTAAAATTTAGAAAGTAATTTTAACTGTAATTATTCTATTGAATTAAAATTTTTATAATTCTAAAGTAATTGGATTATTGATTTTCTTCATAATAAACTTATACCTTTTATATTAAAACTCTGTTCATTTTATTAATTTATATTTTTCGAATATAAATTCTGATCCATAAATTTCTGTTACTATTTTAATAAACCATTGATAAATATATTTAATTCTTTGTCTTAATTTTTTCAATTGACCTTTAAAATTTAATCATAAATCAATATTTAAATCCTATGATCCTAAATTCTTAAGTCCTTTAATTAGTTTTTAGTATTTAACTTAATATTTCTTTTATTCTTTTTTTATTATCCTCTTCAATTCGTAAACTAAAGTAACTGTTTACGAGTTGTTAGTTGTAAATTACCTTTTGAAAAATAAAATTAATCTAAAAGGTTGACTAGTAACAATATTAGAGAAGGGATCAGGGATATTTATTACATTCATATTCCTTCACTATTTCTCTTTGTTTTTTAATAGCAAGCAGAGTAGCATAAAATAAATCTAATCAAAATATGTCAAAAATGTGTTGTAAAATATAAATTACATGTTATTCAAATGTGTCATAAAATTTTTTTGCAAGTCTAATTCAAAATCGATTATGGATTTGAGCTCCTAACATACCTTATACGTGTTGCCCAAATCCCAAATCATTTGGAATTTGGAACGCCAAAATCCCAAATTACTAGTATTTGGGATTTGGGATTTGGGATTTCGGCATTTGGGATTTCGGCATTTGGATTTTGAATTTGGGTGACAGGTATAGTATACCTGGTGCACTAAATGTGATGACATAAATTTTGTCCCAAGACCTTCAATTTGATATTGTGTAAAGAAGAATGGGAACTATTGAATAAATTAATTGATCTTTTAATGCCATTTGAAAATACAACACAAAATTTTTCAAGAGAAACTTATGTAACATTAAGTATTATAATATCAACTATTAAAAAATTAATTTTTGATTTAGCTTGTGAATCTTCATTAGATAATATTAATTATCTTGATGAAAATACTATATTTGAAACAAAACCTTTTACTGATGAATTATTAATTGAAATTGAAGATAAAAAAATATAACAGGAATTTTGAAAAAAGTTAAAAATAATATCTATTTTATATTAATTAATTATTGGAATTTTTCTTATGATATAGAATTAATGGCTTCTTTATTAGATCCATGTTTTAAAACATTGGATTTTGTAAAATCTGAAGATGAAAAAATAAGAATAATTCAAAAACTTTATAATGAACTTGATCCAAATAATTTATTACCTGTAGAATTATCTAGTTCAACTATACCTTTAACAAATGATACAGAATTTTTATTACATTTATATAAGGAATATCATCAATATTGTCTAATGGAAAATAAAAATTTAAATCAATCAAATACAAATATTAATATTGATGAAGTAGATAGTTATTTAACAAAACCAGCTATATTAGAAAATATAAATCCATTAGAATGGTGACAAGTAAATATACAACTTTTTTTCAAATTATCTAAAATTGCTTATAAATATCTTGAAATACCAGTAACTTCTGTTTCATGTGAAAGATTATTCTCACATGTTAATAATATAATTACAATAAAAAGAATTCAATTAGATACAGATTTAGCTAGTAAAATACTTTTTTTAAAAATAAATCTTAATTCAATAGAAGTTTTTGCAAAAGAATAGAATAAAATTGAAGAAATACAAAAAGATAATTAACAATAAAAAATTATAAAATAAATTGTAAATTTGCATTTTATTAAATAAAATTCTAAAAAATAATTTCTTTTATTCATTTTAATTTTATATAATTTCAAAATATTATAATTTAAAAATAAAAATAAATCTAAATTAAAAATAGATTTTAAAAAATAAAGATGAATTTTAAAAATAAAGATGGATCCTAAAAATAAAAATGGATCTTTAAAATAAAGATGGATTTGTAAAATAAGGATGGATCCTTAAAATAAGTATGAATCCTTAAAATAAGAATGGATCTTTAAAATAAGAATGGATCCTTAAAATAAGAATGGATCTTTAAAATAAAGATAGATTCTTAAAATAAGGATGGATCCAAAATATTTAAGGATAAGGATTTATAATCTGAATTTGATTGAGAAAATTCAGATCTAATTTGGATTGTATTTTGAAATAAGATTTCAATACTACTAATAGTGATGGTTCTTATAAGTTACCATGTTAGATAATTGAAAAATATTAAAAATCAAGATGTTTTAAAGGAATAAATATAAAACTTTTAAATATTCAATACTGATAAAATTCAAAAGTTTGAATAATTAGAACAATGTTTGTTAAATATATTAAATAATTTAATTAACAAATATATAGGTGAAAAGTGCTTCTTTTGATGGATAATTATTCAACACATGTAAAAGAAAAGATATAACTTATGTAATACAAGAATTCATTTTTTTCTATCAAATACTATATTAAAAATATAATCTTGTGATGTAAGTATTATTAGAAATCTTAAAGTTTATTATAAAAAACTTTTTTATCAACAAATACTTCAAAAAATCAAAGCAAATAAGATAAAACTTGAAAAAATTGATATATTTCAAGCAATTTACTTTATTATTTTTACATGGAATAATAATGTAAATGCTAAAATAATTTATTATTATTTTCTTCACTGTGAAATTTGTATACAAACAGAAAATAATTCAGATATTAATAATAATCTAATAGAAATTCCAGAGGATATAAATAATCTTATAAATCAAATAAATGAACTTAGATATAGAAATCTAATGGATATTCAAAAATTTCTTAATCAATCAAATAAAAATGAAATTGCAGAAATTCTAACAGATGATGATATTATTGAAATGGTAAAAGGAAATATAAAAAAAAATAATAAAAGTGATGAATTAAATAATAAATTTAATGATGATGATATTATTGAAAGATCAAAGATTACATATAATGAAGAACTAATATATTAAATTCTTTAGAATTTTTTTTTCAACAAGATGAAGATTGTAATTAAATTTTTAAATATATTGAAATTTAAAAAAGAAAAGTATTTTTTATTAAACAAAAAAATATGATACAATCATCAATTAATAAATATTTTAATACATTAGATTTAGATAATAATTTGAATAATAATTTGAATAAATTGGATAATTCTGATTATTTTGATAAATTAAATAATTTTAGTGATGATTTGTATAAATAATTTAGATTATTCATTTAAAAAATATTAATTTGACTTTATTGTTAATAAAAAAATAATTTTTTATATCAATTTTTTTTGTGATATTATTATAGTAATTTACATAAACATATTTACTTAAGTATAGGATTTTGCTAATTCAACATCATACTTATATACAGGTTCAACTATATATATAAAATTGAAAATAATCATCAATAGTTATTACATATAAAACTTTTTAGTTTATAAGTAAATATTAAAAATAGTATTAAGTAATATTAAATATAAGAATAAATTACATATTATATAAAAAGAAGAAGAATATATCAAGTTTGAACAATGAAAAATTTTAAAAAGATAATAATTTACTCAATTTTAATTATATAAATTTATTTTTTTAATATAATATGTTTATATCTTTATCTTTGAAATTACTTAGTACTATTTTTAATTTTTACTTATAACATAAAAAGTTTTTATGTAATAATATTGACAATTTCACATATTATCTTATAACTAAGAAAAATGCTTTTCTATTTGTTATAAAATATCTTAATATAAAATTACACCTTGTCATGTAAATTGTGATCGAATTTTAAAAAAAATAAAATTTTTGTATGTAATCTTCTGTTTATCACGTGAGTTTATAATATTAATTAACAGAGTAACAGATGGATATTCAAAATTATTGATATATTACATATAAATCTTTTTATATTATAAGTAAATATTAAAAACAATACTAAGTAACCTTAAATACAAAAATTAATTACATATTATATTAAAAGGATAGACCTATATAATTAAAATTGAGTGAATTATAATCTTTTTAAGATTTTTTGTTCATTTGAGCTTTAACTGTTAATCGTTCTCTCAATTTTGATAACACATGCTTTTTATTTTTAAATAAAACATAATTTATTGTTGTTTTTAAGATTACTTAATATTATTTTGAATATTTACTTATAAAGTAAAAAGTTTTATATGTAACAAATATTGATAATTATTTTTTTTTTTATATATAATTACATTAATAATATAATTACATCATAATTGTGACATTGTGGTAAATAGCTGTAACTTATGAAAATAATTATGGCAGGTATCTTTAAATCTGATACCAAAAACATCTCAAAAAAATCTTTAAATCTTAAAAATTAAAATATATCTAGTAAGTAACTATTACTTTAAAATCTATTGTTCAAGTACTAGAATTTTTTAAAGACAAAATCAGGTGTTGCAATACTTTTGTGAGTCAATGAAATCCTTTCATATGCAGTTGAGATTATTTTATTTTTTGTGAAATTAAATTCTTGAATCTCACCAATCACCAATTTCCAATCATTATTGAGGAAATTGATAATTTGGTAAAACTGATAATAATAATGGAACTAGTAATATTGATAAAATATGATAAAATTGGTAGGTGAAACTGGAGAAAAATATGTATCAGTAAATTTTAATAGACAATGACCAATGATTGATTTTGTATTTTTTTTTATATTTTTTTGACTTCACTTACAATTTGTAAAATGTAGAGAAATTTTTTACTAAAGTATTTATAAAATAGAAAGAAAGGCCTTGTTTTTAGCTACAAAATAATATATGTTGCATTCCAGTAGCATTGATATTTGTGTTTAAAGTCAAATGTCAATGAAAAATTTCTGTCATTAATTTTCCAGAATTTTTCATAATTCTGGCCAGAATTAAGGAAAATTTATAATAGAAAATTTCATTGACATTTAACTTTAAACACAAATATTTCTGTTATCAATGCTATCAGGATGAAATACATTTCATTTTTGTAACAAAGAATAAGGTCTTTCTTTCTATCTTAGAAATACTTCAGTAGAAAATTGCTTTACATTTCATAAATCATGAGCGAAGTTGAAAAATGTAAAAAAAAGTTAAAGTGAGATTTTCACTTTTTTTTTTGTTTTTTCAGCTTTGCTCACGATTTGCGAAGCGTAGAACGATTTTCTACTAAAGTATTTCTAATATATAAAGAAGGTCCTTGTTCTTAATTACAAAGAATATGTATTTCATTTCGATAGCATTGATATTTGCGGAGATATTCTCGTTTAAAGTTGAACATCCATGAAAATTTCTGTCATAAATTTTCCAGAATTTTTCATAATTCTGGCCAGAATTACGGAAAATTTATAGCAGAAATTTTCACGGACGTTCGACTTTAAACGCGAATAACTCCGCGAATATCAATGCTATCGGAATAATTTTGTAGCCAAGAACAAGGCCTTTCTTTCTATCTTAGAAATATGTTAGTTGAAAATCGCCCTCCGTTTCGCAAATCGCAAGCAAAGTTGAAAAAATGTAAAAAATCCTCCATTGATCATTGCCTAAACTATTGGCGCCCACCATATATTTGACCATTGGTGCACCAGTTCCGCCAGTTACACCAGATGAAATTAATTAGATCCACCTGCATCAATAAGGGGTTTATCTCGCAGGTTTGTTGTACAGAATACCATCCATGCAGTTGAGTTTGTTTTACATAAATTATACCAGGTGAAGTTTTAGTGTTGAGTTTTTTTACATAAATTATAAGGTGAAGTCAGGGATTTCTTAAATATTTTGGCTTCAACAAAAGTGCTTCAAGGTCAAAGAAATTGACATTAACTCTGCTCGTGAAGGTGGATTTGGATATTTTTATTGTGAGCCAACTCTGCTGATGATTTTCATATACATGTTCATAGCCCAACTCAAATTAGCATTATGTCCGAAATTCACAAGAAATTAAAATGATAAATGGAATCGAGTTGCACGAAAGAATCCTACAATATTAACATTAAATATGGTACGGCTGTGTAATTTCTATTGTAATACGTTTTCTAAAAACACTAGATCCATATTTGGTCATAATTTGGGTAAATAATTTTTTTTTTTTTCATTCCTCTTGGAATATTAAATTTTCATTTTTTTTAAAAAAAAAATTGTAATGAAAAATGCTTTCGAGTGCTCTATCAAACGCTCTTATATATCTTACCATGATTGCCTTCATGTTCGTGGGCATTTACGCGGGCGTAAGTCAAACTAAAAGCAAAGAGGATTTTTTATCTTCCATCGGTTCCCAAACATCTTTTGTTCTAGCTATTAATTTGTTTGTTACAAGTGAGTTATCGTTAAATGGAATGAATGTATATAAAAGTTATCGACACAACGAATTCGAATAATTGGACTGTAGCGGCAGACTTTATATTACCCTCCAAGTGTGCTATTAAATGTTGGATGATAATTGCCGGATATCACGGATATTATGTAACATTCAAGACTGTTTCTTTTTATTTTTTATTTTTTTTTCACATTCCTTGCATTTATTATTACTAACATTAGTAATTATTTGAATTGTTTTCAGGTGTAAAGATAAATTGAATACGTCGGCTTAAAATAAGTTAGTTTCAAATTTATTGTCTATTATTAATATTCAGTTTTCGCGTTAAATTTGCTTATCGAGTATTTGTATATATTATTGCCGAATATTACATGATATCCGGCAGTTTCGAATATCCTAATAAATTTGGTTTCGTTTGTTTTGGAATCGGCACTACGGGTGCCCAACTTTTTTTTTTTGATGGAGTATCTTAAAGAATTCTCTTTTCCGAGAGATATTTTTGATACGAAATCATTTGTTGGGCTGAGAAAGCACCGTAATCACCTGATCAGGGTAATTCCTGCGTAGGGAAGCTGCCGCTTCAAATAATTCGTTGCATCGTATCTTCTTTCTATTTTTATTTTATGTTTATTTTATTTTTTTTTTTTAATCGGTGTGCATGATTTCAGTTGTAAACTCGTTTGAGTATTATTTCGGTTATTAATGTACGTCGAAGTCATTAGATATATTTATAACTGATTTGTCGCGAAACTTATTGTTGTTTAGATCTTGGGTCTTCTGTACTTTATGCGTATCCGGAAGTTGGAACGCTAGCAGGTATTGTCGGACTCTTTTGGTATGCCTTTGGAAGCACTTTTCCCCTTAGTGTATTTGCTTGGATTGGTCCTAAAATGAGACGCAAATGTCCCGAGGGGTTCGCGTTGACTACGTTTGTATTGGAAAGATTTGGACGAATTAATCAAATTTATATTTCCTTGATGTCAATGGCATATATGCTTTGCTATATGATAAGTGAATTGTCCGCTGTGGGGTCTATTTTGAATTATTTGACAGGATTAGACCCTTTGGTACCTACAATCATGATCGCTTTAACAACCACTTTATATACTGGTAAGTTCTATTTTGATGACTTTTAATTATAGCTTAATATAAATTTAAATTACTATAACTAATAAAATATCGATCCAAATTTGTATAGCATACGGAGGTTTTCGTGCATCTTTGCTCACTGATACTGTACAAGGATGGGCTATTATTATTCTTATAATAATTTCAACCATCGCTTTCGGAGTCAATGTGAAAATTGATACTTCGAAAATTGGGGAAAGTGGATTATTAAATCTCGGCGATAAATTAGGTTGGGAATTATTATGGATAATGACTGTTGCCGTAACCTTTGCCAATTTATTTCATGAGGTACAAGAACGCATTATTATTATTTTACTATAATCATGCATCTTATTAATTTTCATGTTAATTCGTGTTAATACGTAATATTGTTTTTTATTTTATTTATTATAGGGATATTGGCAAAGAACATTTTCTTCAAAAAATGATCGAGAGCTCGTACGTTCCGCAATTTTTGGAAGTGCTCTGTTATTTCCAACATTATTTCTAATAGGTTTTACTGGAATTCTCGCGGCTTGGGCTGGTACTTGGCCCGGTAATGAAGATGAACCGATCGAAGGCTATTTGTCATTTTTTACACTTTACACTTTATTGCCTGACTGGGTGGTGGCAATTGTCGTGATTTTGACTGTTAGTTTAAGTTGTTCAGCTTATGATACTTTGCAAACTGCTATGGTCGCAACTATGTCAAACGATCTGTTTAATAATAACCTTCCATTGATTGTGATTCGAATATTTACAATTGTTATTAATGTTCCCGCAGGTAAAGTTATTTATTTATTTTTATTTTATCTTTAAATATATATTATTAAATGATTTTAAAGTCAAAAAGATAATCATTAAAATGATTTTTTTTTAGTATATTTTGGTCTAAAAAATCTCGACGTCCTCACAGTTTTTTTAATTGGTGACCTCCTTGCAGCATCTGCAATGCCACCAGTATTACTTGGTCTCGTAGATAATCTATATTTCCTAAATTGGTTTGATGCATTAATTGGTGGAATGGGTGGAATATTTAGTGTTTTCGTATTTGGAAGTATTTATTTCGGCAATGTTAAGGATGGGATTAATCTAATAATACTTCCTAATGGCTTATATAGTAATGATTATTCAGTATTGGGAGCATTTATAGCTGCCCCATTTGGTTCTTTGTTCTTTACTTTCTTTGCATTCTTATTGAGATTGGGTTTAATTGCTTTGTTGGCTGAATTGAAAGGAGAGGAATTCGAATTTCCTAAAAAACCAGTTATTGATACTAGTAGATATACGCCAGAAAGGCTTTCGGAAAGACAAAAAATAATCGAAAGAAATAATGATAATAAGGATAAAGAGCAAACTGAACTTGAAGTAGGGGAGCCTTCAAAATCCTCTGGGAGTTATTCTTGATTAATTCAATATTTTCTTTAGTTTTAATGTATGAAATTATTCATTAGTTTTAATGTATTAATCAATGTATGAAATTATTCTGCCATTCATATTATATAAATTATCTATTTTGTTTTAATTGATGAAATTGTAATCCTCATGAAATCTTACTGGTTTGATTTTTCTATTTCATTGCTTAAACAATTTTAATTCTAAATTAAAATGTAAGTTATTTGTTCGCACTATTAATTGCCTATAATCACTAATTACCCAATAGTGGTAGAATGTAGGGACTCTTTTTTATTGCAAATGTTCAAAGGAAAAATTTGGAATAAGTCGTACAACAAAACAGACCCATAACTTAGATTCTATAACATAGCTCTTTGTTAATAATCAAATCAAAAAAATAAAATAAGGTGAAGGTGCGGAAGATCATCAAGAAATTTTTATTTTATTATTCATAAATGTATGGGTTAGGGCTTGAGAAATTCCTCCTTTTTGACCCGCTACATCATCAATTTTTTAATTACAATATGTATTCTCAATTGAAAATAATAAATGTATACATATAAGGCTTTATTAAAAAAAAAAAATACACAACATCTAATCTTCAAACCTGTGTCTTCAACCAAACTCTATCTTAAATGAATGATAATCTTCGGAATATGACAGACAAAATCCTTCTGCAATTTTTGAACCTTTTTCAATTCACTGCGAATATCAATAATAGCTATACTCTTTGAATCTTAGTAATCTCTCGATATTCTCCTGCAGGTTCAAACCTCCTATGATGCTCAGCCATACCTTTCCTCTCTCTTAAGATTTCAATTGTCCACCCACATAGAAATTGATATATCCATCACATGCAAAAGTAGCACCTACATCACATGATAAAAAATAACAATGTCCAAACTGACGTTGTCCAATTCTGTAAAATTCTTTCTGCCATGTTTGTTCTAGAAGATAAATTACATTTTCTTTTAACCCAAACCCAAGTGATTTTTGTAATAATTCTTTACTTTCTAAACTCATTGCTGTGAAAACTTTCACAATAAAATCAAATAATGAAGTAGGAATAGTGACAGAAGGGGTTTTATTACCATAATATTGCATAAGGAATGACCGCGTAATAAGAGGTGCTGAATATCTTAGAATTATATCATAAAAATGGTTAGTCATGACAATTACACAATTTTCAATCATATGCCTACAATTAAACCTATATATTTCTAATTAAACATCACATTTCCAATAAGGAAATATATGTGTTCTGCAAGGATCATAAAGGTCCCAGGGGGTAAGTCCCAGCACTGACATAAACCAGCTCTTTAGATATAATGGTAAGATAGCGAAGTAGTATATTGCAAGTACCGTTGATATCCCGATCAAGCTCAGCTGTACAACTTGGACAATAAAACACTTTGGATCTATTCAATTTTTAATGGATATAACCACAGCACCCATATATCTTACTGGTATATTCTTCAGTATATATAATTACCTGACACCATGGATATTCATGAACTTTATGTAGAAGATATTGACAGAATCAGAAATGAAACCATGTTAACATCATCTGTACAGTCTTAAAACGAATCTGCCATTTTTTATGCCTAACCATTCCCTGCGTTTTAAACTTGGGCAACAAAATAATATGATAACTTTGGCACAGCCATTTGGCAAGTTTATAGTAACAATTATTAATAAGACAACAGATTTTTTTATGTATACGAAATATGATTCTGCGAAATTTATAGTATTTTTGTTTGTGTGCTTTTCTATGAATAGAGTCATATGTACTTTGAATCTTGTCATATATGTGAGAAAACTAATAAATTCTACTAATATCATTTTTGTTTCATTCTACAACTTGTCTACTTGGATCATGTCCAGTTATAAATGTTTATACTATACATGTTTCCAAAATTGATTTTGAATTTTTGAGGTATTTCAACTTTTTGAGATTTATGCAGAATTTATTCTATATATGGAAGTAAAAAAAGTACCCAGTTATGTGTATATTCAATCAAAGAATAAATCTAAGTAGTCAAAAAATTTTGGATTTTAAGTAAAATAATTTTGTCTTCTATGAAAAACTATTTTAACATTTTTTTTTTCAAAATTACAATTTCAGGCTCCAAAATAATTTTGTGTACAAGTATAGTTCATATACCTGGATCTAGAGCAATCACTACATCTGATTGTATAGGATCTTGATTTTTGACCTATATCTCAAGTGGTTGAGGAATACAAAGATAAAATTCTTCAAGCAATTCATCACAAGTTATACATCATAATAGAGCTCTGCTGAAAGATTTCAACTAACTTCATTTTACTAAGAAATATATAAACTTCTTTAGATTTACCTCAATGTTTTGATAGAATTGCAATAGATTGTTGTTAATCTTTCTAGAGATAAATTTCATTCTAAATTTCATCTGTTTTATGGCAAAATTTGATAAATATGATTTAAGTAAATCATTTATCACTTCATTATGAATATCGTAAGGAGTTTCAAGGACCCATTGAAGTTTGGTATTATTGAAGTTTGTGGTATTGAGATACTGTGCTCATAGAGCTTTTTTTATTTATTCAATATACTCTTTTTCGACTACTACGAGATACTGATTATAAGTTCATCGTGCTGTTTCCATTTAGCGTTTGAGTTTCGACTTCTCTTCTTGTGTAGGAAAGAGATAGATATGTTGTGTCTTGCCTGCTGGAATCTTGAAGCTCTTGTTCTTCTTGAACTTTGGCAACTTCTCGTTTTTTTTTACAATTGGCAGCAAAACGTATTTCATTATATCTTGTCACAAATACCATGATGATTGAGAGTAAGTCTTCCACAAGTTCTTCAGCTTTACTACTTTTAACACTGGCATTCGTACCGAGTACCACAAGCTGAGTCCCATTTTTCTCAAAGATCCATTTCACAAGTTCAGATTCAAATCAACTTAATAAAAAAAGTTAGTAAAATAATGAAGACAATAAAAATTAGAGTAAATAAAAAAAATTAAACCTTTTGGGTAATCACCACTTCTTTAATTCCTTCTATGTATATTTGTTCCAAAAGGACAACAAACCCCTTGTATTTTTAATTAAGTTCTGATCTGATATTACTGATGATTTTGTATTCTGGATAGTATTGTTGAAGATTTGCGATTTGTCATTCAAGGTTGTCTTGTTGATGTTCTGAACTGACTTTGGTATAACAGATCTTGGCATTTTACGTGATTTATATCTGTTGTATACCTGCCACCCAAATTCAAAATCCAAATGCCGAAATCCCAAATGCCGAAATCCCAAATCCCAAATCCCAAAT